TGTTGGACTCCCATTCCAAACTTGGACTTATTCCTTCCAAATTATCGTGGAGGAAAGAAGAAGGCCAAATTGCACCTCTGATGCGGTGACTTTAGGAAACTTTCTGAGGGGCGCGAATGATGGATCATCCCTCGCCTAGAGAGGCGCATCTTGTCAAATATTTTATTTTATGTTAATTGTTATCTTAACTATTGTATTCTTTGTGTTAATGATGTCCGCGCATAACTGCAGGCTGCAGGAGCATCCAGGGCCGGATTTATCAAAGGGCCACATGGGCCGCCGCGGCCCATGGTGGCAAATTTAGGAGGGCGGGGAATTTTGCGATTTTTTTAAACATAGGTATTCAAAACAATATTTCAGATTAAAAAAAAAAAAAAAAAAAAAAAAAAAAAAAAAAAAAAAAAAAAAAAAAAAAAAAAAATGTGAACGAGAAAAGGCGGCAAAATATTTCATTTTCCGAGAGTACAAAACGAGATTACCTAAATTCTCATTTTGTTGTCCTCCGGCAGTACTTATAAGAGATATCAGCTTCAACCTTCAAAGTTTCGAAAAGTTTTGCTGGTGTGGACAGAGATTTCAAAAAAAGTGCTCCCAAGACGAGTATATTAACCCCCCCCCCCCCTCTTCGATAGGTCCGATTGATGATTCTCTTTGATGTTTGAAAACGGACGAAAAAGGGGCGGCGCATGAACGGTAAATAAGTAAATCCGGTCTCGGAAGGACAAGCAAACTGCAAGGCTTTCGGTATTCGGAAATACCGTAATTTACGCACCTTCCGTGATAACATTATTAGGGATAGGGAAGTTATTTGAAGACTTGCGCCGGCATTATTACGTCACTTATTACAGCGCCGGCCTTTCATTGGATGTTCGAAGTGCAATATGCATTTTAATTCTCACCGCTGATTGGTCAGCTACCGAAGCCGAGCGACGTGACGACGAGATCCAGCAAGCTCCGCCCTTTCGATCACTGTCTCTGCCCTAGACTTTTCACTGACTGTCGTTGTGCGGATTGTGAGTACTTTATCCATCCATTTCTATCTCTAGGTAAGTAATCCTGCCTCCTCAAAAGTGCGGTTTGATTAATTGTATCTCCCAATATCGAACAATTTTATTGCCGACTTCTCAGTTTCTGTATTTCAACCATTTTCGGCCTTTTGACTCAGACTTTTTCTGTGGCCTACTTACGCTCGGTCGCCATCTTCGGAAGGTATCCGGCTTTAAGTCTCTCTTTTGCTCTTTAATTCTATTTTTGTTCAACCATTCAGTCTTTTTATTGGATCACGCCCAATTTACAAAGTTTCCTTACACTGAGGTCTCATTTGCTCTCCAACATTCCTCCCTCAGTCCTCTAGGGGTACTTGTATGTGTAGGCCTCCCGTCCTTTAGTGTAGTGATTTTAGTCAACTTCAACTGGATTAACCCTTGCGGTATTTGGTTTTACAGAATATCAGCCAACCGGCCACACACAACTTCACAATGTACTCACAAATCGCAAAATTGGTAGCCCCAGCAGCCCGAACCTCCGTAAGTACCATTTCAGATCTCTCGTTTACACCCCTCAAAATTTTCCCCTATCATGGTTTCCCTGAATTATCCCTGAAACCCATTTCTCTGTTTCTAAAATGCCCTATCCAGAGAACTGATACGTTTAGAGCCTTGAATTTCAAAGCTGAATATGCTCTTGTTTGTAAAGGTTATTTTGAAGGTCACTGATTAAATCTTGCTCTCATTTTTCAGCTTATCGCTGGTTCCAGAGCTGCATACCTGCGACCAGTCAGCAGTGCACTGTGCCAGACCTCACCTTTAGTCAACTCTCAAAGTCTAGTTAACTCACAAGTCAACACAGTCAGCCTGGTGAGTCTTTAGTACCTATCAGCTTTTCCTACTAATCGACCTTTTACAGCCGAGGTTCTCCTCATTTATTTGTCTGATGCACTCACTAAAGTAGGCTTTGTTTGATTCAATACCGATTCACACAGGTCACTCACTGTTTATCTCTTTGAGGCCTGCTCACCCGTCTGACCTACACTTGACCGTAGCCTGGGTGGCGAAGCATGGCTTTGCCCTTAAAGATCATGTTCCATTTAAACTCCTGCTGCTGACGTGCAGTAAGGTCTTAAAATTTGTCTACATTGATGACTGACCTGTGTGGATTGGTCCTGATTTGACCGTAGCAGTGAGCTTTGTATTATAGTTTCTCATTTGGGCACTAATGGCAAAGCCATATCATATCATGTCTAGAAAATTGTGCCACTCAGCCTACGCCTGTATATGCAGCTGTTATGGTGCTTGTGTCACATTTTAAAGGCCCCAATTCCAGTTCCAATCAACAGAATGATAACTACCGCCTATGTAGAGGGAGGGTGAGAGCATTAGAGGTGGCTTTGAGGGTAAACATATTTTAAGTTGCCGTAGCCATCCTAGTATCATAACTGCTAATTAAGTTTCCAGGGTGACCTCAAGCTGATGACATTAGCTTGGAGCTTGTTTGGAAGAGTAAGTGTGTTGAGGATCAGTCCTAGTGTCTATCACTGGGATACCAAGGAATTGCACAGTCCTCTAGTACGGAAAATACCAAGCATCACATTTCCTTGGAAGATTGCCCCTACCGGACTCTTAGAAACTTTCATTGTTACCAATATCAGATTTTTAGGTATATTAGTTATCTAAGGAAACCTTAAGGAGCATGGAATTAATAAGATAAACAAGTTGATGAAAATTTATGGTGGTTGTAAACTGCTGATATCTGGACGAAAGGAAAATCATCTCTATTTGGCCTACAGGGCTCTTAATTACTCAATTTGCTTGGCCTAGGTTCTAGATAATCCATTTTTGCAAAAGTGGGGATAGAAATGGCTCATGAAAGTGCGATACCAATCTGATGAGTATCCATTATCAGTTGCTCCATTAGTTAGCTCTTGAATCTCTCTGAAGTGGAGCAATTTCTGGATGTGAATTTTGTCCAAGCTGTTCCTTCTTCAGTTCTTCAATTTTTGATCATACCTATCAAATAAGCGCTTAGTTCTAGATTTGCACAAAACCACACGGATTAGTCATTCTTGTGGATAAGTGTCGAGACCCCACTGTGAACTAACGATGAGAGGTCAAAGCCATGTATTTCCTCCAAGACCATTTTAAGATTAACTAGTCTATGTCCAGTGTTGTTGGCGGTCTGGAAAACTGGAAAAGACAGGGAATTTGAGGCAGTCGGTAATTCAGGGAATTTACCAACGTGCATTTAGCAGTAGTGAGTTTAATTTATTAGGGGAAAATCATAGTGGAAGGTCTATTCAAATATTAAGGAAAGTCAGGGATTCTGAAGGTGAGGGAATTATGGCAACCCTGTATGTCACACAGGACAGAGTCAGGTTGGGAAATGAATTATGCCAAGATGTGAAGTGACTGACCCGTGTGTTGGGGTCAACTTGTGTTATGCCCATTTCAGAGGGCATGTTCCCTGCAAATATATTCGAACTTTGAACAGGAAAGATTCTTCTCCATTACGTAGGTTTTCGATTGGACAATGCAAGACTCGAGAGTCAAAGTAGAGTCCTGGAGGCAAAATTAGTTTCCGAAGATCAAAGGTCAAATCCTTTTTCTCTGTAGGCAGCAAAGTAACAGATCTTTGATAAGTAATCAGTATAGGTTCCTGACCAAAGTGAATACAACCATTGATGTCAGGCAGTCTTTGGCTATCCTCCCATTCGATTCTTCACTAAAGCTTTAAATTTTGTGTTTGTCTCCAGTTACCAGCTGTCCGAAACCTCCAGACATCAGCTGTCTCAAGGGATATTGACTCAGCAGCTAAGTTTATTGGTGCTGGTGCTGCTACTGTTGGAGTGGCTGGATCAGGTAAATCATCTTTTAATTTTGCTTTTCTTCTTAACCCCTTGACCCTTCATTCTGAAGTTTTTCTTCCTATAAAATGCTGAAATGCTTGTTCCGCACTTATTGCAAGCGTTTGGAAACTGGATGAAGTAGGAGGCTTGAATGAAAGCGGGTCATGGGGAATTGCACAATTAAGTATGTCAGAAGTTTATGGATCTGAGAGATATTCTTTCTCCTTTGCATCCCAAGAAGTGGCATGTTTGTACCATCCTCTTCTCCTCTCCTCCCCCCCTCCCAAAAAAATGACACCTTGAGCTTCATTATTGTGAAATATGCTAGTTTTTGATCAACCCTGAACCTCTGACATAAATTTTCCCTCTTGGAGAAGCCTCGGTTTTCTTGCCTTTCTAAATTCCTGAAAGTAGTTCTATTGTTAATGGCAAAATGTTAGCATCAAGCGAGGTTTTAAAATCATAACTAGATCATCACTTTTTTTTTTTCAGTCAATTAGAATTAGCTTTTCATTCATGATCCTCGTCAATATTTTCTCTCTGTTCATGCCCAGTGATGATGGCAATTAAGGCCAGCACTAATTAAGCTTAAGGACTTACATTCAGGGTATTCATTACTCTCCTTAGTCCTGGGAAGGTCTGAGACTCGCACCTGAATTCACACCTCCTAGCCGGAGGCTTTCCGAAAAGGGAAGGCAAGGGAACAAGAAATAGCGGTAAGTGGAAGCGTGTGCTTGGGACGCAGTAATGCTGAAGCTGTGCTTCTGCTCTATCGGTGGAAACTCTTGTGGTGAGCCGTTTTAGTGGGATTAGCTTGGCGTAATTTCTTACGTAACTCAATTCAGACTAGTCTAGTGCTGGCCTGCCCCCGACTCCTGAGGGCTTTCTCACTTTTCACAACTTAGATGGTAATTTTCTACACCAGGTCATATTTTTACAACTGCAAAGAGCATTTTGATAATTTTTTTCACAAAATGAGAACTCAGGAAATTCCTGGAATAATGATCATGGAAATAAATTTTGTTATCACCTTTATCAAGACAATTTTCACTCAGATCTAGATAATCAAATTTTCAAATTGATCTAGATAACCTAGTATTTTGAGCATTAATGTATTTCTCAAAGGCTTTCTTACCGCTATCACAGTATTATCTCCAATTACGCCATAGCAGCAATACTCTTTAATGAACCAACAAATTTTCCCAAGTACTAATCCAATTTAACTTCCTTGTCCCTTCCTTTCAGAAATAAGAACATCTGAAACCGCCATAGGTTCTCCTTGTCTAAAATTTTGCATGCCGTGTGTGTATTTTTATTCATTTGCTTTCAACCCATCTGACATCCCTTTCCTGTCGTGAACTCCAAACCTGGAAGGAGCCTCTTTACTGGTCCATTCAGGAAAATTTCAAAATACTAATCCTTTGTTTCTTCATCGGGAACTACGTGATTGACACTTACTTTCTTTTTCGCCCGATGAATTTTTCGGTTGTCACTCTTAAACGATGGCCATTTCGACTTCTGTGGAAGTCATCATCAGGTACTTAAAACTAACAACGAAAATAAAAATAAAAA